GCCGGGCCGGTCGGTGGGGCCGGTGTCCTGCCCGAGGGACGCCTGCGAGATGCTGCCGGGCAGCTTGGCAGTAACGCTTGTTAAATCGAGTCCCGCGTCGTGGAAGTTTATCTGAAGAACACACAGGTAACAGATTTTGTCATCGTTCAGTTCCTGTTAGCAGAAAGACCAAAAGAGGAACAAAAGTAAACCTATTTAAATAGACGGATTTTTCCTTTTCAGGTTTGTGTTTCTGATGTGTCTGTGCTGTTTGCTTTTTTATTTCTCCAGGATGAAAGACTCTAGCAAAAAGAACAACATTTTTGCTCAGTTCAGGAAGAACGATCGCGACAAGCAGAAGCTCATAGAGACTGTAGTAAAGCAGCTTAGGAGCTTGGTGAATGGCATGTCCCAGCACACGTAGGGCTGTTAAACTGATGGTGTCTCGTCGCGCCGAGGGGTTATTTCTTAGCCACTATTTCTACTAAGCAAACAGTGGAATCAATTAGGACATTCGTTTCACCGGGTGAAGGAAGAAATGCAACAGTTGGCTTGTACACGGAGTCTTCAGCAAACAGTTCTTTGTACGTATTTTTAATGGATCGAATACTATTTTGTATATTGTAAACCAATGGTGAAAAATGAGACTGTACAATAAAAACCAGCTCGTATTGTACATGGAACAGCTGAACTGTAAATACGTTATTTAAATATCTGCAGACATGGTGTCCAAAATTTTGCTCCGGGTAGGAATTGTTTCAGAAATGATCCCTTAGTTGTTGTTTTCTGGATGAATCCTAATCTGATGTTTTTTTAAGCACTGAGATACTTGCGTTTCAGATGCCGCCGATTGTTTTCCTGCATTAAATGTATATTAGCCTTAAAGTGATTGGATATCATTTTGTATACCAGATTTTGTAGTCTGGAGGTATGAAAAAATCTTCTGATTTTTGGTACCTTTGAAAACTACCTGAGAACTAGACTTGATATTTATTTAGGATTAGGGCTCGTAGGCGTTGTTCCCCAAGAGGGTTTAATCTCGAGGTTGTGAATGTAAATAACCATTGGAGTTCTTGATAATGTGACGTTTTGCTTTGGTTTTGTTCCTCAGGGTTACCATTTCTAACTGTACTTTTGTAAGATCCCGGGTGCTTTTCCCCAGGTCCCGGTAAGGAATAGGTTTGCCGCTGCTGGTTTCGTGCCGCATCTGTCGGTCCGTACGCGCGTCCTCCCGCCCCGCCAGCCCCGTCCCAGCGATCAGCACTGCGTCCCACCACCGGGCGCTTTGCGCTGTCCCCTCCCGGCTGTTTCAAACACAAAGAGAATGTCTAACAAATACAAACCAAATGGAACCTGTAAAAATAATGTACATTTTCGCTGTATTTTTAAGTTATTGACGGTCTGAATACAGTAATATAAACCTCGCCCCTGTTGCTGTCTGATTCCGTGCACCGGGACGCGCTCGGAGCTGGTTTCCGGGGACCTGCGCCGGTCCCGGCTCTGCGATGATTCAGCCCCGGCGCGGCCGGGCGGGGGCCGGGCTG